ACAATAGACCTCACACATGACCATTCTAGACACAACATAGTTCTCAATGTTGTGTTCGTTTTGGCCATGAACACGTCGCCTGGTTCTGCAAGTGTTTGTTCAAGGATGTAGCCTTCCCAACCCTTATAGAAGCGGCCCCACTTCACACTCACATAGGTGACCTCTTAACTCAGTCTTTCACAACAACGGTTAATGGTCATTAAAAGCATAGCTTAGTCTGCATCTTCCAATTATTGTGAGCACCATAGGAATGAGCAGAAGGAGAACCTTCTCAGTGATTCACACAGATATACATGATTTAGTTGTCCCTTTGAACCTAGATCCTGGGATCTCCATTCAGCTAGGTTGGGTTTCCACCATGATATCTTTCAACGTCATAGGCTGCAAGCCCATTCCCCTCGATGCTTTTTCAACTAGCTCTCGAGTTATCCCTTTTGTTAGTGGATCCGCAATATTATCCTTTGACTTCACGTAGTCCAGAGTGATAATACCTTGTGAGAGTAGTTGTCAAATGGTATTATGTCGTCTTCGAATATGTCGAGACTTACCATTATACATATTGCTCTGTACCCTACCAATTGCTGATTGATTATCGCAATAAACACAAATTGCAGGCATAGGCTTTGACCATCTTGGAATATTCTCAACAAACTGGCGAAGCCACTCTGCTTCTTCAGTTGCTTTGTCCAAAGCGATGAACTCTGATTCCATTGTAGATCTTGCGATGCAAGTTTGTTTGGACGATTTTCAAGAGACAGCTGCACTACCAAGAGTGAAGACATATCCACTAGTAGACTTGGAATCTGACATATCTGATATCCAATTTGCATCAGCATACCTTTCAATTACTGCAGGGTATCTAGAATAGTGCAGTCCAAAATCACAAGTGTACCTTAAATAATGTAATACCCTAAAAATGGCTTTCCAGTGGATAGCACCTGGGTTACTTGTGTAGCGACTCAATCTGCTAACTGAGTATGCTATATCCGGTCTCGTACAAGTCATTAAATACATTAAACTCCCAATTATCCCAGAATATTCTAACTGTGACACACCATCACCAGTGTTCTTGGATAAGTGGAGACTCAAATCCACTGGGGTCCTGGCCACAATAGTATCTGACTTGTTGAACTTGTCTAGTATCTTATCAATGCAATGAGATTGAGATAACACAAGTCCATTTGGTGTTCGAGTAATTTTTACTCCCAAAATGACATCCGCGAGACCCATATCTTTCATGTCAAACTTTGAGTTTAACATATTCTTAGTGGCTTTGATAATCTTGTCAGAGCTACCGACAATGAGCATGTCGTCGACGTATAGACATAATATGACATATCCATCATTAGTGTCCTTGACATATACACACTTGTCGCACTCGTTGATTCTAAAACCACTAGAAAGCATAGCATTATCAAACTTCTCATGCCATTGCTTCGGTGCTTGCTTTAAACCATACAGCGATTTAACCAGTCTACAAACTTTCCTTTCTTGACCTGGAGCTAAAATCCCCTCTGGTTGCTCCATGTAGATTTCTTCATTCAAATCTCCATTTAGGAAAGCTGTTTTTACATCATCTGATGTATTTCCAGATTTCGCAAGGCCGCAATAGCAATTATCATCCGGATAAAAGTTATTCTCGACACAGGAGAATAAGTATCAAAGTAATCTAAGCCTTCCTTTTGCTTATAACATTTGATTACTAGCCGAGCTTTATATTTATCAACGGCTCCATCCGCTTTCATCTTCTTCTTGAAGATCCACTTGTAGCCCAAAGGCTTACAGCCCGGTGGAAGATCTACTAATTCCCAGGTATGATTCTGTAGGATAGAATTGATTTCACTCTTGATGGCTTCTTTCCACAGATGACCATCCGGAGAAGATATAGCTTCCTTGTAGTTTTGAGGATCATTCTCCATCAAATATGTGAGAAAATCAGGGCCAAACGTCGTAGAAGTTTTGGTCCTTTTGCTCCGTCTAGGCTCATCCTCACCTTTTTCAACTGGATCTTTATTGCTGCCAGAAGCAGACGGTTCCATAGTCCATTTAATAGGAGTTAACTCTTTACAAGGAAATATATTCTCAAAGAATTGTGCATTTCTAGACTCCATAATCGTGTTCGGATGAATATCAGGTACATTTGAATAATGTACAAGAAATCTATATGCACTACTATTTTGTGCATACCACCAATGAACACACAATCAACTGTCTTAGGTCCAATCTTGACCTTCTTAGGAGAAGACACCACAACTTTAGTAAGACACCCCCACATTCGTAAGTATTTATATGAAGGTGTCCGACTTGTCCAAAGTTCATACGGAGTCTTATCCATATTCTTTCTTAACACTTTATTCAAAATGTAATTCGCAGAAAGAATAGCTTCTCCCCACATGTTCTGTGGTAATCCAGAACTAATCAACATAGCATTCATCATTTCTTTTAACGTTCGATTCTTACGCTCAGCAATTCTGTTCTACTGAGATGAATAAGGTGCAGTAGTTTGGTGAATTATTCCATGTTTAGCACAAAATTCACCAAATGGTGATTCATATTCACCACCACGATCACTTCGTAGCACCTTTATTTTCTTGCTAAGTTGATTTTCAACTTCATTCTTATAAAGAATGAATTTATCGATAGCTTCGTCTTTACTTTTAAGCAAGTACACATAACAATATCTCGTGCTATCGTCGACAAAAGTAATAAAGTACTTATTGCCGCCTCTTGTTTGGACAAATTTCAAGTCACACACATCACTGTGGACTAATCCCAATGGCTCGGTACTTCTTTCAATACTATGAAACGAAGACCTAGTAAGCTTAGCCTCAACGCAGGTTTCACATTTATGATTTGAATCAATTTGAAACCTAGGCAAGTAGTTTAGTTTGCTTAGTCTACATAATGCATTGTAATTTACGTGACCTAATTTACCATGCCACAGATTAGGAGACTCAAGCAAGTAAACAGAAGGAGTTTTCTCATTATTCATAACAGTTGGGGTTACAGCAATTACATTCAATTTAAACAGGCCATCAGTCATATAGCATTTCCCAACATAAACTCCTATTTTGGTAATCACCAGCTTATCCGCTTCGATGACCATGCGAAAACCATTCTTGCTCAGAAGAGACCCAGAGATCAGATTCTTGCGAATCTCTGGCACGTACAACACATTAGTTAGAGTAAGCTCTTTGCCAGAGGTCATCTTCAGGATTACCTTGCCTTTGCCAAGCACTTCAGAAGTTGCAAAATTTCCCATGAACAACTTTTCACCATTTGTAACTGGTGCAAAAGTAGTGAACATGCTCCTGTTGGAGTAGACATGGCAAGTGGCCCCAGTGTCTAGCTCCTTAGGGTTAGACCCCACCAGATTAACCTCACTAATCACCGCCGTGAGGTTTAGGTCAGACATGTCATCTGAGAGATGATCTCTCTCATTTCCAACCATATTAGCCTGAGGACGCTGCTTGTTATCCCTCCGAGGCTGACGGCAGTCTGTCGATCGATGCCCAATTTTGTTACAATTGAAGCATTTCCCGTTGAATTGGAACTTGGGTTTCTTTCCTACTCTACCGGTAGGCTTCATCTGAGACCCTTTCTTGGTCTGCTTTTTATCTTTCCAATTTTTGTTTCCCTGTTTGGCTTTAAAAGAATGACCTTTCTTGGTACCAGAACTCTGGCCGTGCTCTAGGACATTGGCCTTCTCAGAGTAAGAATTCCCTGACTTACGTTCAGCCCGTTTGTTATCCTCCTCAATGCGCAGCTTGATAATTAAATCCTCGAAAGACATCTCTTTCCTCTTATGCTGCAAATAGCTTTTGAAAGCCTTCCACTAAGGAGGTAGCTTGTGAATAGCAGTAGCCACCTGTAGAGATTCTGACATGATCAGACTCTCAGCATGCATTTCTTGCAAGAGCACTTGGAACTCTTGCACTTGGCTCACCACTGAACGTGAATCAACCATTTCGAAGTCCATGCATCGACTGGCTAAGAATTTCTTAGACCCAGCATCCTCGGTCTTGTACTTCTTTTCTAAGGACTCCCAAAACTCCTTAGCAGATTTCTTTACCACATACATGTGATATAGAGAATTCTGTAGGCCATCCAAGACATAGTTGCGACACAAAAAATCAGCACTTTTCCATGCATCCCAAGCCGCACGCCTATGCATATCAGTGTCGTTTTCAGCCACGACAGGGGCATCCTCGGTGAGGAAACGTGCAAGGCCCAAAGTGGTAAGATAAAAAAATCATCTTATTCTGCCATGTCTTAAAATTAGTACCAGCAAACTTATCCGATCGAATTGCATGATTCACCAGAAATGAAGCCGGAAATGATGGCAAAGGTACCGAGGCCGCAACCCTAGGTACTGGCAAAGGTATTGTGCCAAATTGGATTACCGAGGCCGCAGTCGTAGGCAAAGTGGGGTTCATTCCAACAAAAGGAATCCCGCCACCAATTGTCCCATCAACAGGAGGAATGCCAGTCGAGGTCTCCACAGGGTTCACAGCGGTCCCAACAGTGTTGCTTCCATTGTTCACATCGTCATTTCTATGTGACGCCATTTAACCTTAGAACACGCAACAAATAATTTAGAATAATTATAGATTTGAGATCAAGTTATCTGTTCGAGAAAAATAAACTGTAGAACATATTATCTTTGTCCAAATATCAACAACTTAACAATCATTTAAAATTGAATTAAAAATCATTACCTAATGACTGAAATTTAAATATTAAAGGAAAAATCAAGCAATAATGGGCAATTATTACCGATAATTAGAAAATAGTTACCAAATGATTTTAAAATTATGTAAACAAGTAATCATTACATTAATGAGGCAATCATTGACTATCATCATTAAATGATTTTAATATCATGCAAAACACCATCTCTGAAAACCATGTAGAGGGAAGAGATAAAATCATGCAAATTATATACCAGACAATTATACATAATCCATGCAGAGACAAAAAAAAGTATAAACCATGCAAAACCACCTAACTGTAGAACCAAAACCACGCAGGCATGAACTAAGAAACTTCCTGTAAACCAATTTTTTTTTTTTTTTTTGCCTTCTTTCGACCTTATTGATTTAAACCTAATAAATTTACGTAATTAAATAGATAGATTGTCAGCCTTTTTTCCTAAAGGACAAATTAAGTAAACAGCAAACAACTGGAGGTGAAAAAAAAAGCCGACAGTAATCAACTGGAAAAAAAAAATCGATTCTCAAAATTTCCCGAAATGAGAATTCGATTTAAGCTTGTAGGGAAAAATTGGAGAATCAGAATAAATCAACCAAAACTGAAGGCCCGTGTTTACACGGTTTCCTTAAATCGAATTCGCCCTTTAGCAAAAAAAAAAAAAAAAAAAAAACCAAGGCTGCTGGAAATGGAGGAGGAAACTAAACTTTTTTTCTTTGTTGTGTTTTCTTTTTTTTTTTGTATTTCTAGCCAAGAGTGATCCTCTATTTATAACAATATAGGAGGAGCTTGCTCATAAATACATTGAATAGGGAGTTACAACATGGATGAATGAACAGGGTGAAACCGACATATTTCAAATGGGAAGAAACTGATGTTTTCATACGCATTCAACATGTATTCAAAATGATGAAACTGATAGCATTCAACATGCATTCAAATTGATGAAACTGATGTAGTGAACATTCAAAACGTAACTAACTTTTCATTCATTATTCAAAATATTCCAACAACTTTCAAAACAATCATTAAGTTCTCGTGATTGTGTTCATTTCGACAGTGAGCTTTCCTAATTTCTTTGTGTTAATTTTTATATGCAAGAGACTAAGCTATCTGTAGTCTGCGAAAAAGTACTCAAAAGGTGGTGCAATTTAACTACGTGCAAGGGGAAATGCACTCGGGATTACAAAAATATAATCAAATGAAGAAAATGTTAATGAAAAGAATTAGGAAAGGGGAAGAAAATACATCTAGAGGAACCAACAAGTCACAAAATCCAATAGTAGAAAATGCAATCACTTTTTCAAAACAGGCATGTTTACAACCCAAATAGACATTTGTACGTAACTTGATATAGACCTTGACAAATTGACAGATAAAAAGACTAGAGATATGATTGTTGACCGATAACCAGACATCGAATATACTTATTGATTTAGAGAAGGGTTCTGCAAAATCTACATATATTATCCTATCTGCTACATTTCTCGAATAAGACGTTGGGCAAAGAAAAAACCTAACAAATGAAGAGCTGCTAGCTTTCCTTATGATAGCAAATGAAATTTTCAGTGGGTGCGGGTTCACTATATATGACGATCTAAATTTTGATCTTACGAAATGTATTTAATTATGAGAACATAAACATCACTGTAAAAGATCGAGTTGGATCAGCAATCTATAAGAACAATGGCGACCAACGATTAACTATGTCTAGCAAAATAAAAACTACTGAGTCTGCTCATCTGAAATATGCACTGATATTAGGCCTGAAGAGTGTACTGATCATGCTGTGAGATCTTCCTCTTGCCAACTACTTTATCACGAATTAAGCCACTCTTCGGCCCATTGCCAAATCCAGGTTCCTTCTCAAGAACTTGGTGTTGTCTTCCATCCTCCTCACTTTTCTGTAACATAGTAGAAAACCTTTACATTAATGAACCAATTTAGGCTTAAAGATAACAAAGAATTTATATATTTACATTCTTTAAATCAATTTGATTACCATAAGAGAATTCGAGACCGGAATCGCGTCTGAATTTCCAGCTGCAACTTCAGAGGCACTATGATTTCTTTCCCCTTCAACAACATTGATTTCTTCATCTAAATTTTGCAAATGTAGAATATCTTTCCCCTTATTTGAATCTTTAATTCTATGTAAGATTTTCCGTCTTTGCCTCAAACATCTGAAATTCGTCACTTACAATGTTCAATAATCGATGACAATCAGATTATGTTTTCTTCTGTTTACCATGACAAGGGAAAACAATCGTCAAACACTCAAATTGGCTATGCAAAAATCATACCTGACTTCAGCAAAAACTTTATCTCTTTTTCGCTTTGCAGCCTTCAATTTCCTCTTCTTTGAAACAAATTCCTGATAACAATATGAGAATTATGCTTATGGTCATGAAAAATGAAGCAATACAAAAAGAAGAAGAGTTATGGAAAAGTGGGATCTTTTCGGAGAATTTTGTGTCTATTTTGACTAGAAACCGCCCAATGAACAAAACTCATCCGCTACGCATATACGATCCATTTGGGCCAATTTCTATCGTTTAGGGCTCTGAAAATGCATTTTTAGTTATTCCAAATATTTCTTAATTTTTTAGATTAGAATTTTAATCATTCGGTGTTATTCGTTATCCTTAATTTTTATCATTATCTAAAGTTAGTCGTCACTAAAGAATTTAGTTATTATCCAAATTTTATATACTGCTCTAAAATACAAGTTGTAAGCCTTGTGCCTCAAAATTATCCCCTTTCTTGGTATTTGATACTTCAAATGAACAAGTTTGAGTACTTTTGAGATCATGTTATTTCCTAAAAGCTTCCGCTATTGAAGATAAATCAATCTCAAATTAAGTATTCACATAAAACATACTCCCAATAAAACTTACATGAATTTTATCATAAAAAAAAAAAAAAAATTAATTTAGGCTTTTAGTACCCCAAAAACTTGATCAAAACAATAGATAAGAATCAAGTTTAAAATCCTAAAAAATAAAAAAAATAAAATAAAAATTCAAAAAACTAAGGCCCTGTTCTCTTTACTGTTTTCGGGTCGTTTTCTGTTTTCGATTTTTCAAAACGGTGAAAACGTGTTCTCTTTCCCCTTTTTGAAAGCGAATTTTCGAAAACGAAAAAAAATTTGTGAAGAAAACACAAAACAACTTTTTTGTCGTTTTGGGCGTTTTCAGTGTAAAACTTGAAAACGCGGGAAACACTTTTTTTTTTTTTTTTTTTTTTTTTTAAGGAGGTGGTGTGGTGATTCTCAAAATTTAAAAAAAAAATTAAAAATTAAAATTTTTTTTTTTTGGAGGAGATAGAGTGGTGATTCTCAAAATTTCAAAAAAAAAAAATTTAATTTTTTTTTGGTGTTTTGAGGTGGTGTTGTGGTGATTCTCAAAATTTAAAAAAAAAGAAATTATTTTTTTTTTTGTTTTGAGAAACTAACAAAAAGAACGCATTTTCAACAATTTCAAAACAAACACTCAAAACACAAAATTCAAAATGAATTCAAAGCTCAAAACACAAAACTGAAACACAAAGAGAACACCCCCTAACCTTTTGCAATTCCAAGAATTCATTCGCAAGTGTTTGATATTTGAGCTTCGCCTTACCTTCTTCATCAACAGTATGAGATTGATGAAAATCCGTCGAAGCCCTATTCATCTTCTTGTTCAAACTCTAATGCCAACAACGAAAACCCAAAAAAATCCCACCAAACCCCGGTCAAAAAAATCAAAAAATCTCTGAACTTTTACACACGTACCAGCAACGAAGCCTAAAAATCCAAGAAACCCACAAGCCCAGGTTACACTCATAAACTCATATTCTTAAGTGATAGGGGAAAAACATTGGGGGAAAGTGGTTTGTGTGGTTGGAGGTGAATAGGAGACATGTTTTGTATCTCCTCCTCCGGTATCTTCCTTACCATCTCAATTCCTTTTTTCGTTTACAAGTTTTCCTTTTATATTTATTTTCGACATAAATTCCATTAAAGAAGAAATAAAGAAACATGCGTGTATGAGTGTAATTGTTGTAGGATTTGGATTCGTGGTATAGAGAGACCGTGTTGGCGGGGGACAATTTTGTAATGGCCATAGTGCAGAAAAAGGCCAGACGTTAAATGGCTGCAAGGCAATTTTTTCCTTTTTAAAGTTCTTCTTAAACAACATTAATAATTCATATTTGGATAATGAAATCTAAGCACCAGCTTGTTGGAAATCAGTGTTTGTGTTAGTATATATTTTATGTCCTATTAAATAGGTCATAATTTCTTGTATTTAATTAAATCGATAATTTAAACTAGTATTAAATGTCAATAGTGCTAAATAATATTATTTTGACTTTTGGTCATAAGTTCGATTCCTCTACCAACACTTTCTCAGTTGAGTTTGTCGTGCTGGACTTGTTTAATGCGGTTTACTTGACTGGTGTGATTTACAGGCTATTGCATCAGATCGAGGATTTACCCAATGCGCACCCGAATGATAGCAGCTGTAGGTTTCCCCGTCATAAAAAAATAAAAATAAATAACATTATTCTTAATAATAATCTTCTTCTTTTTTAACGTTTGTGAATGCTTTTTTAAAGCTTATAAGTTAAAATATTATTTTTATTCACATTTTTTCTTAATACCTACCTATTGTTTCGATTTGATAAGAATTGGATTTGATAAGAATTGATTTACATTCTATGCGTAACAAATTAAGATAGGCGTGGAGCTTGAATTTGTGGCTTTCATTATATTGAGTTAACTATGTTAATGCGCGTTCAACTTTGGGTATGGTCACGTTTTATTCACTGTATTTCACATTGCACCCATTAGTCACTCAACTTTAGGCCATTGCACTCCATTACACACTAGACAATTTCATTTCTAATGTGTGCCTAACGAAATAAATATGTGGTAGTTAATTCTTTCCTAATTAAAAATCAAATTTCGGCCTATTAAATTGCAACTCCCAAACAAGCCTTACCCAATTGAAATGAAATCGTGAGTTTCTGAATTAAATTGAAACCCCAAATCCTTTCTAAACCCCAGACCCCAAATCAATTTTGCCCCACAATTGAAAGACCAAAAAACTTGGGTTGTTGAAGCCATGCACATGGAAAGACCACATGGCTAAATCTCGAACTTGATATTATTTCACATGTATAAAACTTGTATAATTAAAATTGATTCCGATCATCATGTGTAAGAAACACGTTCATTTAGGGAAAACAATACTTCAACAATATCAGGCGTTTTAAGGGTACCATCGTATCATTCAAAACATCCACTTGAGCACATCAATTATACTCTGTTGGGGATTGATTAAAAACCAAATGAAAAAGAAGGAATATTGAATGCTCGAAATTATACGTAATATAGTGATGCTGCACTTTTTTATGATTGTAGAAGAGAAGATATTATATTGTAAATTTTGTGACTTCGATACTATTAATGGCTCGAGTTACATGGGTATTTATAGATAAGATTTAACATGTATCTAGCTTAACTCATGAATCAACATTGAATAGATACGTTTCTCCTCCTCTAGTACATTAATGGATAAATGCATGTATAATTATAATTCATGAATCTAGATAATAAATGCAAATTACCTTTCCAACACCCCCTCTTAATTTGCAATTTTGAGAATGTCTCTTGCCTTTTGAAATTTCTCAACATAGATCGCCTTGGTTAGAAAGTCTACAGGTTGCTCATTCGTTCCAATGAATTCCAAGCTGATTTCACCATTACTCACCATATCTCGGATGAAATGATGTCGCAACTCTATGTGTTTTGTTTTCGAATGAAACACCGGATTTTTTGTCATGGCTATCGTAGACATATTGTCACAATAAATTACTGTGGGCTGTTTTTGAACTTGTTTCAAATCTGCTAGTAATCGTCTCAACCAAATAGCTTCGCAAGTTGCATCTGTAACAGCAATATACTCAGCTTCCGCGGATGATAACGCTACTGTTTTTTGCTTCTTTGAACTCTATGAAACAACATTAGTTCCGAGACAAAATAAATAACCTGAAGTGCTTTTTCTATCATCCAACGAACCTCCCCAATCACTGTCGCTATATCCAATTAACTTGCTCTCATTTTCTTTTACATATTAGATGCCTATTTTCTTTGTTCCTTGCAAGTATCTCACGACTCTTTTAGCTGCTGCAAAATGAAGTTGACTTGGTTCATTCATGAACCTTGAGATCATGCTCACGGCTTGAACAATATCCGGCCTTGTGTTTGTGAGATAAATCAGTGAACCAACAAGACCCCTAAACAGTTTTGCATCTATTTTTTTTGCTCCGTCATCTTTTCTCAACTTATCGTTCGCTGCCATAGGAGTTGAAATTAATTTGCAATTCTCCATATAAAATTTCTTCAGAAGATCTTCTGCGTATTTCTCTTGAGAAATAAATATTTCTCCTTTGGACTACTTCACTTGTATTCCAAGAAAATACTTTATGACTCCTAAATCAGTCATCTCAAATTCATTCATCATTTTTCGCTTGTAATCCTCGACTAACCTTATATTGGTGCCAGTGTAGATAAGATCATCTACGTAGATGCACACAATCAAGAAATCACGATCTTGCTTCTTCACATAGAGAAAGGGCTCATTAGGACTTCGATGAAATCCATTCTTGAGAAAATAGTCATCAATCTTGCTATTCCAAGTTCTTGGAGCTTGCTTCAGTCCGCAAAGTGCTTTCTTGAGGCGATACACTTTATCTTCTTTCCCTTTCACTCCAAATCCTTCAGGTTGTTGTACATAAACTTCTTCTTCAAGCTCTCCATTAAGGAAAGCTGATTTGGCATCAAGTTGGAATACCTGAAGCTCCAACTGCCCTGCAAGAGCAAGAACAACCCTGATAGTTTCCATTCTAACAACCGGTGAGAACGTCTCATTGAAATCAATTCCCGATTGTTGAGAATATCCCTTCGCTACAAGCCTAGCCTTATGTTTTTGTATGCTTCCATCTTCATTATACTTTGTTTTGAAAATTCATTTCAGTCCTATAACATCTTTGTGTTTCGGCATATCCACCAATTCCCAAGTTTTATTTTTTTCTATCATGGCAATCTCCTCTTACATAGCTTTTCTCCATGTTTCTTCCTTCACTGCGACTTCAAAACTTTGAGGTTCACAGGTAAAGAGAGCAAATTTAGATGTCTCAAGAATTTCTCTCAAGGATCGAGTCTTTTTAATCGGTGAATCGGAACTTCAACTTTCATCTCGAACCGGCGATCTTGGTAGGCGGGGATTTGGACTTTGAGGTGGACTAATATGACCGAGTTCATCCTCAAAATTTGATGCATCATAGAACTCCTCTTGAGATATCAATTTGGACGAATTTCCTTCCCAGCTCCATGATCCCATTTCATAAAAAATAACATCTCTTGAAACCACAAGCTTCTAAGTTATAGGATTGTAAAGGCGATAACCTTTTGACTCATCACTATAGCCAATGAAAATAAACTTCTCACTTTTTTCATCAAATTTATCTCTATTTGGAGTAGAGATATGAGAATATGCAATGCTGCCAAAAATCTTCAAGTGATCAACTATGGGCTTTTTCTTGTGCCAAGCTTCAAACGGTGTTCGGTTTCGAACGGCCTTTGTTGGGCATCGATTCAGAATATAAATAGTTGTGTGTATCGCTTCCACCCAAAATATTTTGGGTAGACTTTTGCCGATCATCATGCTTCTAGCCATTTCAACAATGGTGTGATTTTTTCGCTCGGCTACCCCGTTTTGTTGGGGGCTCCTCCGAATAGTGAGCTGCCTCTGAATACCATTATCTTTGCAATACTCCATAAATGGAGTGTATATAAACTCTCCTCCATGATCTGTCCGAATGGTTTTGATTTGATGACTAGATTGTTTTTCCGCTAGAGCTTTGAATTTGAGAAATGCGGAAAAAGCCTCGGACTTTTCATTTAGAAAATAAACCCACATCATCCTTGTATAGTCATCGACAAATAAAATGAAATACCTTTTGTTTCCAAGAGAGAGAGTCCTTGAGGACCCCAAATATCTGTATGAATAACCTCCAAATGTTCTCTAGCTCTCCAAGATGTATTCGGAAAGGGAAGTCGATGCATTTTGCCATATATGCATCCTTCACAAACTTGAATTTTTGCTTCAATTTCTGGGAGTCCAATCACCATATTCTTTTGCTTGAGAAGTTGCAGCCCTTTGATATTAAGATGTCCGTATCTCAAATGCCAAAGTTGAGATTGATCAAAATTTTCACCTGTGAAGGCCACCTTTTCTTGAAAAGGCATATTCATGGGAAACACCTTATTGGAGCTCATAAGAACTGTGGCGATGGTGGAATTGCTTTTCTTGTCAAATATTCTACATTTTTCATCATAAAAAAAATAATATCCTTTGCGTAGTAGTTGTCCAACACTAAGGAGGTTACTAGTCAAATTAGGTACATAAAGAACATCACCAATGAGCTTTTTGTTACCTCCTTTAGTTTGAATAGCGATAGTTCCCTTTCCTTCACTGCGATGTAACTTTCCATCACCAAGCTTCACTTCTGAATTGAAATTCTCATCAAGATCAATGAATTTTTTTTTTATTTCCAGTCTTGTGACTGCTGCAGCTGCTGTCTAGGTACCACACATTTTTTGATTGTTGTTGAGCCGTCATACAAGAGAAAAGCTGTTCATCTTCATCTTTGGAAAAGTTTGCTTCATCCTTCTCATCTTTGTTCTAGTAATAACAATCTCTTTGAGAGTGGTTAGGATTTCTGCATCTCTTGCATTTGTAGAAGCAATCATTTGTTTCATGATTTGATTTTCTGCAAATTTTGCAAAAAATATTTGCATTTCCAGCTTGACGATTTGGATTTCAGTCATAGTTTTTTGATTGGTTGCCTTGTGCTCTTCCTTTTCCTTTTCCTCTTCCTCGAAATGATCCTCCTCGTCCTAGTGGTGATTCTCCTCTTCCTTGGAAAGAACCTCCTCTTCCTTGGGAAGATACTCTCCTGCCTTCTTGCCGCTGTTTAGAATTTGATTTATAAAATTTCATTTTGGACTCAAATGCTTGCTCAAGTGGCTGATTTGAGAACCTGCCAATTCTTTCTTCATGTGCTTGC